CTGAAGATGCCCGGCAGCCTTTACACAGTATGGAGAGTGGTCGAATACAGCCCTGCCGCAGCTGGGCCTCAAATCCATTAGCCCAAACCCAAGCCCTGCCCTGCCCTGCCCTGCCCTGCCCTGCCCTGCCCTGTGCCCTGCCCTGCCCTGCCCTACCCTGCCCTGCTCCTGCTCCCTTCTGCCCAGCAGAAGAATACAGTGGGAAGGTAGGATGTCATTATTCTGTTCTTCCATGTATGACAGGTGTGGGAATTGAGGGCGTGAGCCCTANNACAGGAAATGGTTTGGGTGGTTGCCTGTGGTATCATCACAGCGGGCGGGAAAAAGAACTTCCGGTTGCACCGAGTTTTAAAACAAAATATACAAGAAGTCGCTTTACGCGAAATACACCGCCACCCACAAACCCTGGTGTGAGCTGGCGCCATCTTACCATGGACCATCGGCCACTGCGCAAGAAGACGCCCTAGACCCTAAGCCCTAAGCCCTAAACCCTAAACCCCAAGCCCTAAACCCTAAACCTCCAAACCGCGAACCTCTAAACCGTAAACCCTAAACCTCTAAACCGTAAACCCTAAACCCTAAAAGGGTTTCGAGGTTAGGGCCCAAGGCCCAAAAATAATTGAACCTGAAACCCTAAACCAAAGCCCTGCAGGTAGAGGGGGAAATTCTGCAGCCCGGGCTCCGTTCAAAAAGGTTTAGAATTCCCTTGAAGGGTTTAGGGTTTAGGTTTAGAGTTATATCGTTACTTTTCGCCCCATGCCCGTTTCTAAGCACTTACAGTTCATATAGTAGTTTATATTGCAGTATACTATAGTCTATTGAAACCCTAATCCCTAAATAAACCCTGAACCCTTAAACCCGAAACCCTAAACCCCTAAATCCTAAACTCCATTTGAGGGGTTCCCGCGCCGCAGGAGACGGCCCTCCCGATGCTTTACTACTCGAAGCTTCCGCCGAACATCTCGAAGCTGCGGGGTGCCTAGGGGTTTTGGGAGGGTTTAGGCGGTTCAGGGTTTCCGGTTAAGGGTTGAGGGTTTTCGGCTCACGGCTTCCAAAGACACTCAGATTACTACAATACAATGGTTACGACAACGGTGACTGTTAGCGTTACTGTCAGATGTGCTACCAGAGTTGCATTCCGGTAGTAGGTAGGTCGGTAAGTCAGAACTCAGCTGGTGATCCTACTTATCACGTCTCCTTATCGCCTCTTTGGTACGTCCCCTAATCCCCTAAACCCTAAACAGCTCCCGAAGAGCCGAAGCCCGAGCCTGAGCCCGGCACCGTCGTCCCAAAAAGCGCAGCCGCAACGCGCTCGACGAGCGTCACACCCTTGTGGGGGGGGGGGGNNGGTTTAGGGTTTAGGGTGGGGCTTCGGGTTCAGGGGTGGTGCTGAATGACGATCTCGAGCCGATGGCGGCTGAAACCCAGATATCAGCGTTGCATTTCCAGGGACCCCCCCTTAGGTTGGAATTCAATATCCCAGCACGCCCCAAGGCTCACAAATTCGTGCAAAAGAGCAGTGAAAGAGAAACAAAGCACGTGCAACAACAGCAGGCCCAACTCAGCCAGATGGACAACCTCGGGCCTCAGTTAACCCCCAAGTCAATATCGCATAGTGGGAGTACCCAAAACCCTAAACTCATGATGTCTTGACAGCTCTTGCAAGCACGTAGTGCACGGCACTGCCGAATCTTCGCAGGCCTTTGTAAGATCGAACCAGGAAGCCTCGCACCGAAGTCCTAAACTCCTTAGCATTACGCCGTAGCCTCGTAGCATAAGGCATATCCTGCTTTGTGATCCTATGCTGGGAACTGGCGGGTCCTCTTTGATGGCTATAGAGGCCGGTTGTGGGTTTCAGAAGTGCATGATGAGGTGTTTCGAGGGTCCCGGGTTTGTATGAGTCATGCGTATACGTAAACCCGAAACCCTTAACCGCATGTATGTGTATGTAGCAAAAGGCACGTTTTGGATGCCGGCTCTGGCTTCAAGTTTGGGTGCACGATCCTGAGTTGGATCACTGTTTTGGGAAGGGGTTGCCATCGTTCAGTTTCGGGAGAGTGCTTTGGCTTCGGGGGTGTGAGTTCATGCCCAGGTTAGATTGGAGCCCGTAGCTTAACCAGTCATTACCCAAACCCTAAGCTCTAAACCCTAAACCCTAAACGCCATAAGCTTAAAGGCTCCTAAATTCAGGGATCCACCTGAGACCCTAAGGCAAATCATGCTTTGTGATCCCATGCTGGCTACCGGTGGCTCAGCGCTGATGGCTATCGAGGCATATCCCAAACCCTCCCAGGGCGAACCGTTAGATAGATGGAGACGTAGAATATATGTAAGGCTTTAAGAAAGCGTTGTTGTGTTTTATGGGTCTCTGTAAGAGACTTTTCGGGCACTGGGAGCTAAGTGCGGGTTATACCTCTGCGGTATAAATAGCGTAAACTCGTTTGTACGAATCCCTTGATGATTCAAGTGATGGTTGGTCAGCACTAGGAAGAACATCCTTGTGGTAAATACGGAAATCGCAGTCGTTGTAGGAATGCCATTCACTTTAACTTGTTAGGGAGCTAGAGAACAACAGAAGAGAGTCAGAATAAGAAGCCCCCCAAAGCAAATCTGTATGTATGTATATATGTATATATGTATTTTCTATAAATAAATAAATAAATAAATAAATAAATATATATATATATATGTATATGTAAGAGGTGAGGGTTCGGACTTGGGGTTACACGTCTAATTCGTATTCCCTTGTAGTCCCTTTATGATTATACTGGAAAAGGCCCAAAGCCCAACCCTAATGATTAATCGAGACATCTCGATGCAAAAGATGCCACATAATCGAACCCTCATTCGAACCCCCAGCCCCTCCAAAGCCATCCCTTGGCCTTCATCACCTACTTGTTTCCAGGGCCCTTATGAATTCTAGATTAGACTTTATTCATCAGACCCTAAAGTATAGTTAGTGGTAGCATCAACTCAAAGGTTTCGAGCCTCCAGAGCTTCGTCTCTCTTTCGGACCTAGTAAGTTAGGGTTTGGGGTTTGGGGTTTAGAGTTCCGGGTTTCGTGTTAAGGGTATAGGGTTTGGGGCTTGGGCCAATGGGGTTTTGAGGCTTCAGTGTTGTTGTTCCCGAGAAGGTGTGGTAACACCATCAGGCCCTTGCGTTGGAAGTAAATGGAGCGTTCATTGGCCACTCCGGGCTTGGCATCTGATCAAGTCAGGTCCCCGCAGCCTGTTATTTACACAGGATGCTGGCGGGGCGCGTCTCCCGTTGTGGTGCAGTGCGTAGGTTTCGCTGACGTCTTACTACTACAGCGCATCCGCAAGCTCGCCAGTACTTGGGGGAAGGCAGTGCGGGCGTTGTAAATGGTGTCCCTGGTCGTCTCCTGGTACCCAGAGAACCCAATACCCCTTAATTAAGGAATATGCCTTAAATCATAATATTAAGGCCCTTTTAATTTAAGATATATTCCTAAATTAAGGGGTATTGGGTTCTCTGGGTAGTCTCTTGGTGATCTCTTGATCTTTTCGTGGTCTCCTGCTGAACTCTGCATGGTCTCCTGGTGGGCCGCGTGGTGGTCTCCTGGCGGTCTCTTGGTGGCCCCTTGGCCTAAACCCTAGACCCTAAACCCTAGACCCTAAACCCTAGACCCTAAACCCTAGACCCTAGACCCTAGACCCTAAACCCTAAACCGTAAACCCTCTTTTCGTCGTCTCCTCGCGGTCTCCTGTGTGGTTTGCTGGTCCTGGTCACGGTGCTCGTCGTGGGTGGCGTTGTGATGATCTCCTGGTCTTCTCTTGCTGGTGTCCCGGTAATATAGGGGCCTTAGTTATTAGAATAG